AACACAACAAGAAAGAAAAGCTTGTAGTTAGTTCAAGGATTGTTTGTTGGCCTTTAGGAGTGTTTTCCAGTCCAGTCTGTTGGGGCACCATGCCCTGTCCCCAAAGTCCACCTTCAGCATTCCCTGGGGACCTCGTCACTCCATTTCCTTGCTGTTCTGTTGCACCCCCTTAGCGTTTGCCTCAGTGTGGCGGGATCAGATCAGTGTAATTCCCACACTGTCTCTGGTGTTATCCCCTGTGGAGCTATGGGTCAATGAGGGCGTCATGTCTCATAGTGGGGCCAGCCATGTGGTGAGACTAAATCTTTATGGGAAGAGAAAGCCCCATCTTTCCCCCTTGGCATGGCTGGTGGTTTCACACCACTGACCATTTAGTTAGCAGTCCAACATGTAAGAATTTAAGCTCTATCATCGTGTGTGTGGTACGGAGAAGCTGTACCAATGAACCTGTACTCACTTTTTCTCCAAGTGAGCCTCTTGTTAGGGCCATGAGCTCAGCTTTGGAGGAAGAAGTCTCCAGGGGAGCAGGGCGGCAGCCTCTGAAAGTCTCAGCAGCATCCCCTGTTCCTGCTCTCAGCATCCTTGGTCCACAATGTCACTTCTCTCGGGAGCATCCCTGCCCTGGGGTCTCATTTCAGGGCTGCTCTCTAAGGTCAGACCTGCTGGAATATGCGGGGTGAGTTGTGCGGACACGATTGAGCACAGGCTCCCTTCGCTTGTGGGAAGGAGCGTGTCTGCCAAAGGGAGAGCGCTGCCTGCAGCCTGGAGTTTTAGGGTGTGTCAGTGGAGAGCCTAGTATGTTTCATCCTTTTTTACGGCTAGCCAGTACCCATCTCGTTGCTCAAGGAGGGGTAGCACGCATTTTAGGATGTATGCAGTTGACCAGAGAAGAATCAGTGCACTTGAACGATGGGGCTAGCAAAGAACACTGAAAGTACAGGGACTGCCGAAAGAACCAACAGCCAGAGTACTCCTTAGAGGCAAGAAGGGCGAGACTTGGTCTCACGGTACTTTGGACATGCAGTCAGGAGAGACCAGTCCCGGGAGAAGGACATCGTGCTTGGAAAAGCAGAGGGGCAGCGAATGGGAGGAAGGCCCTCCGTGAGATGGATTGACACAGTGGCTGCGACAACGAGCCCAAACATAAGAACAAATTGTGTGCATGGGGCAGGACTGGGCAGTGCATCGTTCAGTTGCACATAGAGAGTCACTGTGAATTGGAACAGACTGAGC